GGAAATACAAAGTCAGTCTTGGCCTTCCTGCTAACTTGGAGCATGTGCATGTAAATTTTGGTGCAAATCCGTCAAAATTGCAGCCGTGCATTCGTTACACACACACACACATCCTGCCTTTTATAGATAGAGATCAGTCATTTCCTGTTTAAGATTGGGCTTCCAGTTCTTTCCAAAGTCTATTTCAACTCTGTACTTCTAATGTAGCATTTCACACTCTCCCTGGTTTTCTGAACAGGATTATAGGTTTATCCCTTGTTTTCTGTTTAAGATTGGGTGTCCGGTTCCTTCTAAAGTTGACTTCAACTCTATATTTCTCATGTCTTTGCCTGAACTCTGAAATATTATTTACTAATTATTTAATTTTTTTCTGCTCCATATAATTAAATAGATTTGCCTATTGTCTGGTTCACACTCCTCTCCAGCCTTTTGAACAGGATTAGAGGTTTATCCCATGTTTCCTGTTTAGAACTGAAATTCTGGTCCCTCATAAAGTCTACTTCAACGCCATAGTTATAACGTCTTTGTCTGAACACTGAAAAATTCTTTTTTTGCTCCTGAAAAGCAGTAGATAATTTCACCTATCACCCGGATCATACTCCTCCCCTGTCCTTTGAACAGGAATAGATGTTTATCCTTTGTTCATTGGTTAGAATTGGGTTTCTGGTTCCTTATAAAGTATTTTCATTCTCTTTCACTCCCAGTAGTTCCTTGCGTCTTAGTGGCATTATTGTTGTGCTTGGAATGAATTGATTGAAAAAAAGAAAAGAAAACATCACTTTTTGTTCAGGAGAAACTTTGGTTTGGTAATCATTTCAAATGTAAGTTTTTCATTTTTACCAAATAAATGAATTTTTGTATACATTTTAAAATCCTAAAACTGCACAAGAAACATAAATTAAAATTAACAAGTATTAACAGAAATTTCAACATATTTTATTGACATTCTATTCTCTTGTTGCATGTTACTCTCTCTCTCTCTCTCTCAAAGTATTTCTATTTCTCTTCAACCATTTATCAAGTTAGTTGTTTATGAACATAATATCAGTACTTGATTAAATCATGTTACAATTCTTTGTTTTAATTTCCTTAAGTAAGTATTAGGTCACCTTTAACATAACATACAAACTATCTTCTAAACGATGATCCACTATGTGTTGTTTTCCTCTCCCTCTTATCTTCAATCTATCCTGTAATTTTCAAATTTTCTAAGCCCCCTTTCCTTATTAAGTGCCCTGGAAATTGCAACTGTCTCTTCCTGATGTTATATATAAGTGTCCTTTTGTACCATTTTTCCCAAAACTTTATCATTGCTCACATGTTTGGTCCATGGCATTCTCAGCTTACTTTTGTAGAACACATTTCTGTTGCTTCAAGTCTCATCTCTATCTGCAAGGATTCACTGCCATATAGGAGGACTGATATTACATAACAGATTAGTATTCTTTTCTTTGTTTCTAACAGAATTTTTCTATTTATTGATACTTTGCTTAGCTTTTGGAAGGAACCTTTAACTATCCCAATGCACCTTTGGATTTCAGTGTGGTGCTTCCCATCCACTGTTAAATCATTTCCCAGATATATAAATTGTTGCACTTGTTTGATTTTGGTATCTCCAATTTGTAATTTGCATGTTGCTGTCCCTTTTGCTAAATACCATGCATTCTATATTCTTGCAATTAAGTAGGGCTTTTAATTCTCTCAGAATTGCCTCACTGTATAGGTTGTATAAGCCCAGTGAGAAGATAAATCTTTGTCATACACCCCTTTTTATCTGTGTATAGAAATGGTAAAAGTTAAACATTGTAAAATGAAACTGCACTTTGTGTTCCAAAGGTTAAGGATTCTATTTAGTTATTTGTTTCAACAAATATGCTATTTTATGTGCTGTAAATTTCCAGCCTTGATAATTTTTAAATGAGGGGAAGACTTATTCTCTATTCTGAAGCCTCTTTCCCAAAAGACACAACATTGCAAACCTATCACTATTCTGTTGATATTTCCATGGTAAAAGTTCAAAGAAGCTCCATTCTTTAGTTCCACCAGTTCAAACCTTTATAGCTATGACATACCATGCTACTTCCAGACGGATGAATCACCCTCATTTCCTACCATGTTCCAAATATAAGAAGAAATTTCCACTCAGACAGCTTTTTGTCTAGGAGCTAACACTTTCCAGTGTAGATGCTTCCCTGAACACTACAATCGTAACCTCTTGTAGTCAAGGGTCAATCATTATCTATCCTCCTTATCATCATCATCATCTTCACCTCCTACCACCACCTCTTTTTCATATCTCATTTCATTCAGCATTAGCATTTTAATAGTAACTGTCAAACTTGAGTGGCTCTCGAGTCTTCAATTGGATGTATTTTGGTATTAAAACAATTTATAATATACACTGGGAATTAATAATTACCTGGTAAAGATGTCTTTCTTGGAACACTTAGTATAGTTACGAAACCCAGTTTCAAACATACACTATCATCATTATGTACTGTAGTGCATGAAGTTCTTATACTTCTAAAATCCTTGATATATTACAACTTACAACTACTAATGGAGTTAAATTATGTGGTCTCTAAGTAATACAAGATAAATGTACCAAATTACCTTCTCTCTTTATATGCATTTCAAAATTTCAGATAGAAAGAATGATGAGATAGATGTATTGAGTGTTGAAAGATGGCTTCAACTACTTTCTAGCTCTCCAGACTTATAAGAAAATATTGCACACTTCCTAGTATGAAAAGTATCTGGCCTCCTGCATAGCTCTGTATAAGAAAAATATTGTAAAACTGATTGCACAGTATGGTTTCAAAATAAATAAAAAAAGATATTGACTTAGCAAATTAATACCAACATCAATTTTTCTACTGTACTGACTCTCTGTGCAAGAGTTGGTTTTCTCTGGTAAACATGACCAGGTTTTGTCTATTTTGTATTGATAAAGTCTCAGTTATAAAACTTTGATTTGACCTTCACTTTGCTATTCAGACTTATAACAAAAGTCTTTGGGTTACATGAAAATTCTCTGTGAATTTCTGGAATATGGAGTTACCATTATTTACATTATTTATTGTTTATGCATAATCATCTTTGTTGTTGTTATCACAATGTTTTGGTTTTTGTACAATCTAGCCTATGTGTATTTCAACTAGAGTAATCTATAGGAAATTTTGAATTGAACCTTTTAATTGATGGGATAGATTGTTGTGCTCTCTGGCCTTCATTCAGGTAACCTAAAGGAAATTTAAATTGGATCCTTTATTTAATCTACAGGTATAAATTGTTCTTGTTCCACTGCCAATATCTAGGGATATCTTGTTTAGTTCTTATTTTAATACTGCTCAGTTATTACTTGTCCTTTTCCACTGAGTCCAAGTACACATTTCTAACCAGTTCAGGGATTGAAGTCTCATTTATTATGTCACCAAATTCACAAACAACCACTTTAGAGTGAATTAAAGTGTCGGCTCATGAATTCAATCCCTGGATCATGTAGTGTGTACTTGGACTCAGTACAAGCAATAACTGAACAGTATTTAAATACAAACTAGATGAGATATCCCTAGACATGGGCAGTGGAATGAGAACAATTTAAACTTGGAGATTAAATAAAGGAGCCAGATCAAATTTCCCTTAAGTTATCCAGATGAAGGCCAGAGAGCACAACAGCCAAAACATTTTGATAAAAATACAAACAAGGACAATAGTCTGCATGTAAATAGTGTTAATAATGGTAACGCCCTCATCCAAGTATTTCAGACAGGAGATTTTGGATGCTCAACAAAGAACTCAGTGAATCACTTGATGAAGGGCGGAGGGAAACAATAGTTGACACATTAGGAAACAATGACAAAGATGAAGACAAAAGTTTGTATGTAAATATTGAAAATTCTTGATTACTGTTAACTATGTTCTTATACTTTTCAGATGACTATTATGGAGATTGTTAATGCTAATCCTCCCAAGGATTGAACTCTGCATCCTTGGCTAACAAATATTGTTGAATTACCTTGTCCCACCTGCTAATTAAAAATGAGCCCACCCTTTTCCATAATAGATTCTAACAATTTGTTCAGAGAGGTGAATTTTTTTGTGTGCCCAAAATCTATGTTGGGCAATTTCAGAATTTTAACCTTTTTGGCAATGGAACTTAGTTAACAGCTCTTCCTCTTTTCTATCTTCATTTAGTCAATAGTGATGGCTTATTTATCACGGTTTCTACAATTGCTAGACTGCAAAACACAATAAAATATGATTGTGGATTTTGGAAGACATGGTTTGTGTTACGAATGTCCAAAGGAACATAGATAATTTTTTAAAGGGATTTTTTAATCTGACATTTTTTTTATTACCAGAAATTTTATTTTTAATGCATACATGTATTTTAATTGATATCCCTTTTATTTTAAACATTGAAATTTAATATCAACTGGCTGAAAAATCAACAAGTCCTTATTCACAAAAAGTATGCTTCCTGACAGCACAAACTGAATCTGTAATCCCTTTTTCTCTCAAGGAAACTGCTCCTTTATCTGAAGTGTCCCCTGCAATTGATATGGCACACTATGGCTAAAAGAGTGTTTCCTCTGATGGAAAAAGGGAATACAGGTTAAATTCCTGTCAGAAAGCATATTTTTTTTTTGAATATCTTCTTGATTTCTAGGTGAGTAGACATTAATTTCAGGGATGTCAACACAAAAACATGTACCCACTAAATTGATTGATTAATTGATTGATATGTTTTTATGGTTTATACAAGTTATTTAAAGCCAGAAAAATATTAGATTCTAAGAATTCCTTGGAGATAATAATAATTTACTGATACAAGTCCTACTAATTAACCCATAACTAGAGGAAGAAGAAGTGGAATCATATTTTTCCCAAGAGTATATGCGTGTCAGTGAATATAACAAACTGAACTGGAATTTCATTTCAGTTCTTCGATTTCCAGTTCTGAGCCATTACTCATTGCACCACCCACACATCCAAACTTACAACACTTGGTATTCCCAAACTGTCACCCATCTTGGTACTAACCAGGCTCCTCGATGTTGCTTAACTTCAGTGATTGTATGAGAACTGGTGTTTCAACATATTATGGCTGTAAGCCTATACCCACCAGAAGTAATGTATATAGTATATAAGCTTATATATATATATATATATATATATATATATATATATATATATATATATAGATCACTGATTTTCCAGCAGACTTGGTTCCTGAACCATGCTGGATTATCTGTTTTTTCCAAACCAACAGAAGTCAAATAATAACAATTCAATAATACACCTTTTGACCCACTAATTATGCATTTCTCATATCTGTACAGTATCATCGACTGTTACAAACTTATATTAAACTGTTACTATAGACAACACCACTTGTGTCAGCCTGGTGAATTAGCTTGGCAATCTCATGAAATTCAAATGCTTGCTTGTAATTTTGTCTAGGTTAAAAAGAGATGCTCCATTGCCAGAAAATTGGTGGTGCACCTGTATATATTTTATTAAATATTAAGGTGGATTTTTTCCAAAACCTTGTCTGCCAAACAATTTCAAAACATAATGAATAAAAGTAACTTATAGAAGCCCTTATTGTAGATAATCATTATTTGGTGAACAATCAAAATCTGTTTTGTTAATATTTCAATGTCTATAAAAATGTAACAATATGAGTCAGGCAGAGGTCTTGTTAAATTTAAAAACAGCGAGACCTGTCGCCCAACTCAAGACAGAACATTTACTTTTGAGGAATGGCTATCAATAATTGGAGTCAACTTCAGAATACAAGAGCAAGAGGCTCAGACTGAGAGAAAGTGATGGAAGCAAGATTAATGACCTTTTTAGATGAAGATGACAGGACAAACAAAACTGTTGTCTATAAAACTGACCATCCCAGGCAAAGGCAAACAGAAGGAATGACATGGACCATGCAGAAGGACATAGACAATAGCCACAGAACTGCACACCTCCCCCCTCACTTTCACCTCAATCTGCCTTTGCTCGCTTATAGTAGTAAAGTACTACCTCAAAATAAAATCTGGTTACTGCAAGAAATTGTTTTGTTCTTCACTCATGGGTAATGATCTGGCCAAAGGCTAATTTTTAATCCACAAGTATTTGACTGAAAGAAGCTGCACCCTGTCAACAACCCTGGTGTCTGGTCTGAGCTGAAATGCAACAAAAATCAGCAGCAGAACATCAGTTATCTCCAAGGTTTTTTTTTAAATTTTGCTTTATCCTTGAAGTTAAAATGGGATTGTCATGTTTCTTTTTGTGTTTCTCTTAGAAAAAGAATGATTGAAATTTAAAATAATTAATCAGAAGACAAGAATAATCAAGCACAGCATTTAATGAGGATTCTGAATGGCTAAAGAAAGTACCAATTGTGTTCTCATAAGGGTCATGCAACACTGGTTATCTAAGTGCCAAATTCAAAGAACTGTCCTTTTTTTTTTTCTTCTACAACATTACTCAGAAAGCCTGAAGCAAGATTGCTCCCTTTACAATAATACCCAGGTATTGGTATCTGTTTATAGAAGAATATATCCAGCAGCCTTATGAGAAATTACTACTATCTAATAAAGCAAACCAAGGAATTAAAGAACCTCTTGTTCAACAAGAACTGTTAACATGATACCTGGACACCTTTTCGCCTAAGCTAAGTCAGCAGACACACATTGTCTGCAAACACTTCTTTTTATGTATTTCTCTTTCTCTATTTGGTTATTATTCCTTCTCTTCAAAAGCTCTCTCCCAGTTTGTTTGAGTGCACATTGTTTAGTACTAACACTATAAATTTGCGGTTGCATCCATGTGTATTTTCATGGATATACCATATATACTTGCATATCATGCGACCTTTGAAGACCTAATTTTGAAGCTAATTAGACTACATTAAATGGATATATAGTTTAGTCAATGCCGTAACTAGGGCCAGTAGTATATATGCTAATTTTATATCTCGTGTATGATGCAACTCCCATAAAATTAGCTTCAAAATTAAATCTTCAGAAGTTACATAATACATGAGTATATACGGTAATCATCACAAAGCAAGAATATGTTTGGCATTAATTTCTCATAGATTTTCATTGTTGCTTTTAATCACTTATTTCTTCAATGTCCCATTTAATTTGACATCAGTTTGGATTAGCAAAAAATAGACACACACTTTTTTTTTTTTTTTTTTTTTTTTTAATGTTTTTGAGTAAAATCTTTTGTACCAAATACAAAAGTGTTGTCTGGAATAGTTATATTCTAAACAATATTATAAAATAAGCATTGCTAGTTCAAATAAATGTTCTGTTGGTAATTTTTGATTCTTAGAATAAATTAATCATGCCACAAAGACAATTATTCAAAAGATATTAGGTCCATCATACCAAATAAGAACTATACCCTGGTTTGGGGGTTGATTAAAGGAAATAAATTATTATTATTATTATTATTATTATTATTATTATTATTATTATTGGCACTGGCACTTGTATTGAGTACACATGAGTATCAGTCTGGAAACTTTTCAGTCATTTTGAATATTTTGAGGACTGGTTATTCCACCTTCGTGTAATTTTGCAATTTCATCAGATGGGACCTTACTGATTACTATGAATGGTGTAAAATAAAACAAACAAGACTCATATTCCAATGTAAAATTTAAAAGAAATTTACATTTATTACAATGACTTAAAATTAATAAAAATAGCACAGAATACAAAACTTACAAAACAGGCTTGCAGACACTCTCCCATGGGGTTATTCACTCAGCTTTGAGATGCCACTGAGGGAGTTTGTGTATTATGCAACTGTTGAATTTGCAGCAAATATGTATGAGTCTCATATAAAAATACCTTCCTAATTCTTCCAAGAGTCCATAATGAAATAAAATGTACATGCATTTATGTCTGCTATTCAACACACATGCATGCTACCATTCTGACATTTTTATATGTTCATTAGGCTCTTGTAGAAGAAGGCAAAGTGAGAAAAACATAAAACAAACAGGAATTTACATCCCTACAAGAACAATGAATTGACATATCCAATTCCTCTATGAATATTCACAGATGTTTATGAATACACGATTCATGTCATCTACACGAAATGAACCCAAAATGGACTTTTTTCTTTTCTTTTTCAAATAATTATAAAGTTTGAAAATAGAATATAAAATAAAATTAGTTTTCTTTTTTTCTTTTGAGTTTTTAAACTTGTTACATTTATGGCACATTAAAAATTGTCAAAATGCATTTCTCCCATTGTTGTTACTCAGTGATCGTTTCAGATGTGCCAAGACTTAATGGAAAACTCTTGTAATCATTGCATTCAGCTTTGCAAAAATTCCACAATGGTTCAACATTTTTTTTACTCAGTAAGTAATTAGCTATTATCCATTAAAAGATAAAAAAGTGCAGTTTATATGTGAAAAAAGTCATTTTTTATTTGTCTGTAGCAATAAAAGAGATTGTATTTTTATTTATCAGAACCTTATCTCCAATAGACAGCATGCAGAATCTAAATACAAAAAAAAACTCTTTGTAAATTTTTATGAACTGATGAGGATATGATCCTAATACTGTCATTATTTTTTTCATGTGTCCTTTTAAGGTTATGGCATCAAAGTTTTAAAGTTTCTCGTCTCATTTTCTGGAAACAGATAAGAGACTCTGATCTAGTATCTATTTTTAATAGAATTAGTTTTCATGACAAACATTATATACAAGGTATGATCAAAAAGTATTGGGACTGGTGCCATATAAAGAAAACTACAACGCTTATAATTTTGGCATTTAATCTACTCTGAAGTAGTCTCCTTCTGAAATCACAGATTTTATCCAACATGATTTCCCTTGTTGAAAGCATTCCTGGAACTTCATTTTTGGGATAGCGAGCAGCTGCCTTGTCACATACTCTTGGATTTCCTAAAAGTCTTAAAATCTTGTTTTTTTCAAGTAGGATTTGATTTTTGGAGAGAAAAAAGTTGTCAGGCATGGGGAATGTTGTCCTTGGCCTAAAATTGTCATACAAGCTATAGTTCCTGATGGAACCTTTGTGGTGTGGTGAAACCACCACACTCTATACACTTTCCTTCCAAGCACTGCCATAAACAACAGAAGTGAGCAAGAATATTATAACTTAGTGTGTATGCATGACAGTGTTCAAGGTCAATCTGTTCCAAGCAGCTTCACTCTGCGTACTTTAGCTCCATTACCATAACAGTCCTGATGGTTTTATATCAGACAGCATAAGTCCATAGATTTAGTTTTGCAAGGTGGGTGTATAACATGTCCCTTTTGCGATCCATATATAAACTAAATTACTATTCTGCATCAAAATCTCCTATTTATTATTAAGCAAAAAATCACAAACACTTTAAGGAATTACTTATTCTGATAGTATTTAATGCAGTCTATAATTTTGGCTGGATCCTAAAGTGATCTTTTCTATTGCATTATGAGTCTGCATTTTTCTATGGAACATAAATCAGCCTCTATGAACTATACTTTGATTTATGCAAAATCTTACAGAAATGTGACTTTTACATAGCCTGATAACAATTTGAGATCGATACTGGGCTATCTGACTTGTTTAGTCGTACCCAAAGAAAATAATCTAACAATAACCTAACATTTTAAGCTTCTAACATGCACATGGAGACATCTGAAATCTGTTACCTATTTCCTATACATACACTCCCTTTGTTTACAAAACCTAGTTCCAGGAGAGAATGACGTCATTATATCATATCTCTCCCCTTCTTAGTAAAAGAAAATAAATAAATGTCTTCACAACACACAGTTGCTGAAATTATTTATTTTTCTCCTATTGAAGTCTTGCATGAAAATTCCTCAGTACATCCTCATTACTGAAATGTAACTTTCTGCTCATGAAAGGGACTCTGAGTAGGGACTCATTTCATGGTACCTTTAGAAAGTAAACCAGAGATGACATTTTAAGTTTCTAACATATATGTGATGAAATCTGAAATCTGTCTCCTATCTTATGTGTGTGCTGTTGTTATTTACAAAACCTAGTTTCAGGAGGAAGTGGTGACATCACATCATAGATGCCAAACCAGAATTATTTTCAGAATTAT